CTGGCCCGGCCGGCCTCGTGCGCCCCAGGTAAGCGCCGCGGAGACCCTCGGGCCGCCGCCGTGACCCTTTATTGCTGTTATTTTCAAGATCCTGCTCTCCCCGCCCATCCTCTTTTATTCTCCACGACTCCCTCGCCCTCCTTTTTGGAGATGCTTTTCCATTCTTCTTGGGGCCCAGCAAATAAAGGCACGGAGAATGTGAAACGAACAAGCTAGCGGTTTGTGGCCAGTCTTGCTGAAGGTCTGCAAGGCTATCCTGTTATCCACGGATCCCGAGGCGGGTCTGGTGGCTTCGTGTCCGAATGTGCCTTTATTTCCCCTGCAAAATTCAAGCCCTGGAATTGTTCCGTGCATGGCTCTATCAGTGTGGTATATCAGGTATTTGGGAATACTTCATTGTCGGGGCGAAAGGGGTACCTTCGGTGTGTGTGTGTGCATTCCTCTGAGTAGCTCTGTGTCCCCCAGATGCAGGCAGGCTGACGGGTGTCCCCCAGTGCACTAGGACACAAAGAACATTCAAAGACTATCTCTTGGAAAGCGGCCTGGCTGTGGATCTTTCCAGGGAACTAGCTATTGCTATTACTTGTGCAAAGGCATTAGTACAATAGAGTGTGAAAATATTGTGATTCTTAAGTGTCAGGGCATGAAAGGACTCAGGGTTGTTTTTGTAATAGATGCAGTTTCCTGACGGTTCGTCAGCATGGAATTAAGAGGCATGATTTATGAAGGAGCATGTGGGCGGGTTTTGTTGTTGAGGAAATGATTTAATTCATATTGCTTCCCTGAAATGTTTATTTGTCCACCCTGAGCTTACACATGGGATGGTCTGGAAACCATCTCCGGGCTGACACGCCGTAAGCCAGTGGTTGTGCTCCCGCACACACGCACTTGACCACTTTGGGGGCAGAAAAGGAAAGGTGGAATAAGCGGCTCTGGGTGGGGAGCTGCCGCACAAACAGAAAGCCACGGAAGCCACTCCAAATCCTCCCTTCTCTTGGGAGCAGGGCCAAAGGGCTGCCAAGTGGCTTTGGAAGGAAATGGAACACAACCGAAGGTGTCCCTTGGACCTCACTGTCAGAATTATAACCAGTGTCATGTAGGGGATGGTACAGTAGAAGCCTAGGAAGAGACTTCAGGGATCACAGTATGGAACTGCTTCTTCTGCTGAAGAGGGAACTGACAGAGAGAAGTGACTTGCTCAAGGTCACAGGCTAGTTGGTGCAGTCATCACTTTTCTATTCTCCCTGCTGCCTGGACCCGCAGACTTATACACACCTGAGGCCTCTACTCAGATTTCCTATAGCTGGGTGGAACCCCGTCTCAGAAAGCCACCCATTCTGGGAGCGACAGAATGGGTTTCTTTCAGGCAGACGATTTAGCCTGACCTAGCACCTCAGGTGTCAGTCCTGCTCTCTGCGTGTTCCAGTCCTGTGTGTCCAGAGAGGAGACGAGACCCTGGGCTTTCTGCAGGACGAGATAATCACGAAGCCCGCTCTTGGCTTTAGTCAACAAAGAAAACCCATCTGATACTAATGGATTCATCAGCTGCGGGACAGAGAAAACTAATCATTTACTGAGTGCTGCCTGCGTACCAGGTGCTACATTTAAATATGTGATCCAATCTCGTCGTGAGTTAGGCATCATGGTCCCCGTTTTACAGATAAGGAAACTAAGGCTGTAGGAGTACAGGTTAGTTTGACTACAAACTTCTGTGCACTTAACCGCTGTACAGCTTCCCCCTGCAAATGTGGCCATTCGGATATCCTGCAGATGTGGAGAATGTAAGTAATTTTTTTTGATAAATCTAAAATCGACAGCGAAGCTGTTTGTTCTGCCTCTCCATAACTTTAGAGGTCTGTTCCTGTTTCCCCTCAGTCCCCAAATACAGGCAAACCCCCATTTTATTGCGCCTCACTTTATTGCACTCCACAGGTGTTGGCGTTTTTACAAATTGTAGGCGAGAGCCTCCACCAGCAAAAAGGTCATGACTCTTTGTCATGACACTCGCTTTATTAGGGTGGTCTGGAACAGAACGTGCAGTATCTCTGAGGTCTGCCTGTAATTGCCGAGAGACATGAAATTAATTATATTTCCACTCTAGAGCTGACATCACGGAAGCAGAGACTTCACCCTTTCACTAATTTGTCTATTGGGCTCCTCTGGGTTGTGCAGCTGCTTCTAGGCTGGGCTGTGGAACAGGGATTGGGGAAGTGGTGGACACGCACGCACCTGTCCTTAAGGATCCAATTAGAAACGCAGAGCAGTATGTAAGCTCAGAGCCCTGCACGGACCAGTCACGGGCAGGGAAGGCAGTGAGTGAAAGCGGTCCAGGGAAGACCTTGCAATGATGCCCCCAATCCACTTCTTGGAGGCCGTGAGCAGTGATCTGGGTGGAGGGTGGCTTCCTAACGCATGGTGAGTGGGGGTTGATCCTGGGACGTTGCATTTCAGTTGTTTGGCTGTGGTTTCCTCTCTGGGCCACTAGGACCCTCTGGCTCCCCGTCCTGAGTGTTGTGTTTTCACCTTCGGAGTGGGGCTGGGGGAGGCTTTGGTTCCATTTCTGGAGAGGAAACGGTGTTAGTCTAAAGAGTAACCGGGACGTCTTAATCATGTTTTGGATGTCCTAGGTCAGGTACCAGTCCCTCCGTGGCTGTCCGAAAACCCCCTCCTTCAGAGGGCCCTTCTTCCTTGATAACTTTTGTTAAATGGAGTCCACCTTCCGGTTGTTCCGGTTGCAGCCCCTCGTTAACGTCTTGATTTAAATTTCTATGTTTTATTGATTTCTTGTCCATTTCACTCAACATTTCGAACGTGCACCTTTTTGTTTAAACTTAAGTTTGGTCTCGTCTGTTCACTCTTGTGGAAAACAATCCGTGATACTTTGGACTTGCTTTCGAAGTTGTGCTTTTAGGTGATCCTACATCTACAAGATAAAAAAGGAAGAATTGTGCCTATTTATTTCATTGAGGGATAAGTTTTTCTCAAAATAATATGAAGTTGATAACTTTGCAGAGAATTTGGAAATTGATGGTATAGAAAACAGGTACCCATGATCCCACAACCCACAGAAAATGCCATAAATAGTTTTCTTTGTTAACTAACGTTAAAGAAATGAAAATTATATGCATAATTGTATTTACTACTTTTTTCATTCACTATTTAAGCGTTTCACTATTTATTAAATGTTGTTTGAAAACACAATTTCCATCCTAATAATTTACTTATTTCCAGCTTTTTTGGGCTCTTATAAATAATGCCGTGATGAATAGCTATGTAGGTAAGGCTTTGTCTATTTTTCTATGTGTGGGGTTTTTTTTTTTTTTTTTACATTTCTAGAAGGGAAGTTAGAATGTAATCACAATCTAAGGCCCATGAGGCTGGATCTTTGCAAGTTTTCTTCCATGTGCTGGGTGCCTAATAGGTGCTCAGTAAGTGGATGTAGAATAATCGACTTTTTCTATAAAGCTGTCATTCTGAAATAAACCGTAGCAGTTTATTCAGATGCCTGATTTACTTCATCATAACTAGCATTGCGTATTTTTAAAACCCTTGTTAAATAAATTTGTAATACATTGCTGTAGTTTTTCTTTTGAGTTGGATATTTTTTGTTTTGTCTTTGTATTCCATGAATTTTCTGTGTTTTTGCTCTGTGGTATGTATAGTTAAGTCTTTATGATGGATAGCAACCATGTTTTTTCTCCTATGTGTTGCATTTTTCACTTCCAATGGATTTCCTTTTAAATTTTATATAATTTTGAAATTCAGAAGTATTTTTGATTATCTTGATTAGCAAAATCTGCCATTTTTTTCCTCTTTGTAATTTTTTTTCGTTGCATTTATGCTTATGGCGGGTGAAATTTTTATCGTGTTAGTAGACATTTTGAAGTGAACATTTGTTATACTTTTTGAGTGGTTTAGTATCCTATAAACAAGGACTTAGATAAATGTTTCGAAAGTGTGATCCCTCGACTTCCTGCGTCAACAACTTGGGCGTGTGGACGTGCTTGTTAACAATTAGGATTTCTGGAGCTCATCCTTGACTCACATTTGAATTTTTTTGGTGGGGGTGCCTGGAAATGTTCATTTTTAACAAGTTCACAGTAGAGTTTTCGGCACTTCAAAGTCTGGACCCACCGATCCAGATACTGTAAATCCAAGTACTGAAAATTTAATAGCATTTCAGGGGTAACCACTTACTATCTTGCAGTTGTCTTTCCACCGTTAGAACAGTTGGTTTAAAATTGTAACACTGAAACAGTTTTCCTTTTTTGTTGTTGTTGCTATTATATCTTGTTTGCTTGGTTTTCTTTGGGTTGGAAGTCAAAGGACATAGAGGACTTCGTTTTAAATTCTTACTCCTGGCCCCTTGGGAACAGCTGCTGCAGCATTTGCCGGGAAATGCTTCACTTAATCCTGAAAACAACTAAGTCAGGGTGTTGTTAAAAGTCACCAGGGATCTGGGAGCCACAGGTTTTCTATCAGTGCCCTGGGTGCCAGAGGCAGCTAATTACTGTAATTGTAATCACACCAGGTTGATTTTCCCAGATAAGGAGATGCTGTTCTAAACTGATCTAATTTGTTGCCAAGTCGTGACCACCCACCCACCTTTCATCTGCAGCTCCCAGCGACATGATTTCATGATTTCTCTCACATGCGTCGGCTGCATGATGTGTTGGAAAGCACATGGAACTGTGAGCTGGCAAACCCAGGGGAGCTCTTGGCTGCTGCTGATTGGCTTTGTGACTGTGGATAAGTTCCTTTGCCCTGGGTGTCTTCGTCAGTGTGAGATGGGGCATCACTGAGGTTACTTCCTTTTAGCTCTTACGTTTCGAGTCCACACGTTGGCCACCTTGGACTGCACTCGTTGTAGACAGTGACTGTCCTCTCTGTTGAATGTGGAGCGTCGCCATCTCACTGGCCCGTAGATGGTCTTTCTAGCCCAGTGACCTGCTGAAGGCAGTTCATTCTTTCCATTGCATTCAGTTATTCTTTTTAATAAACTCTACATTTCCCCCCCCATGTGTCCCC